AGTTGATATAACTTGTTTCATAATCGTTGTAAAATAAATAAAGATTTTTAAGAAAAATTCGTCGAACTTTAACGAAATATTAAAAAAAATAGTCTTACAAATATGATGATGATCAAGACTAGCGTTTTAGATGATAAAACTCTCATTTAATTAAATTTAATCAAGATTAAAACTAACTACGTCACAAAGATAACAGATTAACTTAGTTTTCACCGACAGTTTGCGTCTGGAGAGAAAACTTTACGTTTCATCAGTAGCATCAGTTCATGACTAGACGCATTTTAAGGTTTATATTCTTTTATTAAAAAACGATCTATATATTTATTTGATAAACGGCCTGTACGATACATGATATCAGAGATTTTTGTTTATTGCAGGTATGTAAATATTTAATGGAATGTTTGACTCAAAATTCAAGAAATAGAGAATAAATATGCACGACTACGTGGAGACATGTTTTCGACATAACTGTTTTTCTTATCTGTACCGTGCAACCAACGGTCTTAATTAGACACGAAACGTTATCAATAGAAGCAAGATATGCAAAATTCCTCACAAATATCAGAAAACATGAAAAGGATACGAACTCGGTCAATTAATAATGTTTTTTCCAACGTATGCGCAATCGCTATAAAACGTTATTAATAAAATCCCTGTAGACAAACCGTTCGGTTACAATTTTAATTAATATCCTTGAAAATGGAATTAAAATATTTAGAAAGATATTGCATTGAAACCTCACACGATTTTGTTCGGAATGTGGGCTTGTTTCCATTCATCATAATTTTAATCATTTTCTAAATAAGATTACAACGTCAGTTTTTGAATTGACGCCAAACTGCTCACAGTGTAATTAAAATGGTGGGACTTGTTGAGACTTACTTTAGTCAGAGAATAGCATCTGTAGACATTTGGTTAAATTCATAATTTTAATGGATTTCACAGCAAAACTTTCAGGCAAGAAATCCGATATTTACTTCCGGAACCCATTTTACTACACTTCCGCCTCTTCAAGTTATAATAAACTCCCTGACCTCTCATAACCTCTTACTACCTCTCCCTAACAACAATTTCCGGACCCGTCATGCCCTTACATCCCCTTTTCTCCCAAAAGATCCTACATGCTCTCAAAATGTCTCAAAATATCTTCTCGCAACCTCTCATCCTCTTACACGTTCATCTTATCTTAGATTGTACATGCATAAAAGCACTGAATTAATCTTGACATAACAAAGACATATGCATTAATATTTACCAATGCCGTCTCACTATTATTTATTACATAATTAGGCTGACGTGTGCCATAAGCATGTACCTCCTACACCTACGGAGGAAATATAACGTGACAAGTATATGGATTACACCAGTAAATATACATGCATACTATACATACATTCCATGTTCATCACAAGATATTGGTGTCCTTCTACAAACCCCTAAAGCAAACCTGTTCTAATTACCATCAAGGCCAGCTCTAGCTGGAAGGCGATTTACAATAGATTTTGATTTCAGGTCTGACGATGTCATATTTCCCTCATTCGGGGCCTCTCTAGAAAAATGTACAAGAAACACCACAATGAGGTCCGATTGACTGAAACAGACGACAACAAAACAATGGCGCGTAATCCTTATTATACACACCGTCGAAATAGATGTATCTTGAAGCTGAAATATAATCTATGTCAACAAATTTCCACAGGTGTCAATTCAGTACAATACGTATATGCAATACATTTTATTATAACTGTGTATCTGAGTGGATCATTTTGATCATATGACGGGGAAATAAAACATCGTGTTTCCTTGGTCTCAGAATTCCCAAGTCATATTTCCATCATTTGGGGCCTCTCTAGAAAAATGGACAAGAAACACCACACATGGGGTTCGAGTGACTGAAGCAGACGTCAACAATGGCGCGTAATTCTTATCATCTTTACCGTGACCGATGTAAAAGAGATGTTAGGGAAACACGATTCTTTGTTTCCCTTCAATTAGTCATGTTTCACACGGACGAATGGACAAAGTTCGAGTTTGGTTTTATTGGGTTAAGCGTGCTACATGTATTAACTGCTAAGGTCAATTAATGACGTGCCTCCATGTGCGTAATATATGCGTAGAGGAGGTATGTTTGTGTATTTGTCTCCTTGTGATAGCGCGGAACTGATGCTTGCTTTAGGTCGCTGCCTCGCTAAAATATTATTGCCGAAGACACCAATATCAGCATTCCACCCGGTCACATCATACTGATAACGGGTGAACCAGTTGTTGCAATTACCTTAAATGCTGAACGTTCAGCAGGCAAATACAAGTACATGTCCCGGCACAGGGGACAGAAACCATAGCCTGCCTGATCACTTGGGCAAACATTCACCGCTAATGTATACTTTAAGTTCTGGTAAGTCTTAGTGAAACATGATAAATCGAAGGAAACAAAGAATCGTGTTTCCCTGCAACAAAACCATGTATATAAAGTTTATTAACACATCCTTTACGGCGTCAATTGAAAATCACAATCGGCTAATAGTGATTTGCAGGCTTAGTTTGAACACAGATGAAGAAGCGACGATGTAGCCAAAAGTATACAGGAAATTCTTGTAGATATATCTTTAATGGATTTTTGAAGGTATTCCCAGATATCGCGTCTCTGATAGATCCATCAAGGGGTATTCCAACAGAGACGCACGGGCTGAAAGAACGAATTCTGCATAATATGCATGTAATTTTGTTTTCAGGTGTGATAAGAATTTCGAAGGTCATTTCTAATTCAGTAACCACTATCAAGGGAGGAATACCTGTAAAAAGTATGCTGGCACCGTGCCGTTTTTTGATTTGATAAAGAAGCAACTCTTTCCGTTTTTCCATTCTCTTTGATAAATAGCAAAAAATAACGAAAGTAGCTATGTAGGCAAACTTATAACAAAATCAAACGCCTTCTAGTTGCAGTTCTTCCGTGTTTTATGAAACCATGAACCCCGAATCTAACCTAAACTTCGCAGGTATGTTGAGGGAGAGGACACATTTGTGATAAAACTGTAACGTCTGTATTAGATCTTTGAACTGCTGAGTATTTAAATATTTTTAAAGTGCCGTTTCCATGTTTTGACTATTTACAATGAGTACTTAGATATTACGAAACATTGGAAACGTCGTCTGTCTCATCACACGTCCGATACTACGTAACATTGGCACGGACGGATGTCAGTCTTTCAGTCCTGCACTTTGAGGTTTTGCCTTTCAATGAAAATTGCTTGATAATTTTAATTTGATTTTGTATAGATTGTTTTACATGCACATATATATATATGTTATTATTATGTGCATAGAAAATTGATGTCTCAATAGGGTTCCGAGGTCTAGATACTCCTTTCCATTTCTTTGGTTAGTGTTTCACGTCCTATTAACAGCTATGGTCATTTAAGGACGTGCCAGGTTTTGGTGATGGAGGAAAGCCGGAGTTCCCGGAGAAAAACCACCGACCTACGGTCAGTACCTGGCGACTGTAGTGGCGACTTTAGTGGCGACTGCCCCACGTAGGTCTCGAACCCGCGACCCAGTGGTGGAGGGGTAATGGTAGCAGAATGGCAGACGCCTTAAAACCACTTGACCACCGCTAAATTAAATGCTACATTCGATCCGACATAGCAACAGCTTAATGATATTAAAAGTAACGAGGGCAGTCGAAAGTATAGCCGAGTTTGAAGTAACAGCATTTTATTCACACTGATAGGGGGATATTGAGCCAAAATGCGCCTAAAAATACTTATCTTTGAAATAAAAAAGAAGAATCGCTAGTTTTCCCGGTCATAGGCATGTTTCGCTATGGAGCCCACAAATACAATTGAATTTGATACCCTATATAAGCTGTCGTTGCCATTTATAATTGGATCTTTGACCTTTAAGTTGCCATTCAGCAGAGCCTGTGGGTAGTTTTTATCGCTTTGATGGTTATTTCCGCCATGTTTTACAGATGTAGTGCCCGCAACCTGCATTAATTGCAAATATAATTCTCTTCTGGGATTAAAATCCGACAATGAAATATCTAACCGTGGGTTATTTTTCTCGAAATTGCGTATTTTTTTATACCGATGCACATTCAGCACACTGATGTTTTATAGCTTAAGGCGAGCTGCGTGCCACTGTACAAGTTAAGTTTTGCACTGTAACCGCGACCAGTGTCTGTGAAACGTCTCCCGAGCTGCCAGAAGGCAGATTATTATGCGATTTATTGTGCGACATTTGATAAAGCGCCCTATCTAGTTATAACAAGCCACTCTAGGGCACTTCACATTTAACAGACATAGAGTTCATACATACAATCAATTAATACAATCAATACAATTTGAAGTCATCACAGCAGTGGCCTTATCATTAACTCCAGGTTCTATGCCACCTGGCTAAGTACCTTAACATGTGTTGGACCCTCCGTGAGTGATGATGGTTTAATATAGAGTTGTCTTTGAGTTCTTATACTTTGAACGGAACTTTTTTTCCAAAGTGCCTCTTCACTTGAATGTTACTACACAGACACGGCAGCATCCACTCCATACCGTTTTACACTCACTCTGGGTATTGGAGTTATTAAGGTGGGACAAGCACTTTTTCTGAAGCAAAAAAACACATTGTTACGATGACTTCGGGGATTGAACCCCGGCCTTCTGCGTGGAAGCCCAGCGTATTAATTCCCAGCTTAATCCGCACATTTGGTGGTTGAGTCTAACAGCGCCTGTTAATTGTATATATGAATCCGTCTTTCCAGTTTTCGGTTTTCAGTTTATCTGTTCCATGAAATAAAATATCCTTTTCCTAACAACTAACCCCGCCCCCAACCCCAGACCTCCTGATTTATATTCTCATCGTTTCATTCTTCATCCCACATCCACTATCTACTTTCCCCTCTTTCTGTTCTCCATATTTATTACTTTCCTCCCATTAATCCTCTTCCTTCTCATAATATATGTCGACAATAACACGAGTTATTTGATTTTTTTCCTCTATTTCAGTTCTCATCTTGACGTCAGCATTGATTGCGTACCCCTTAGGAATGACGTCACCCTTCTTTCGCTATTACTGCGGACCTACAGCGGAAGTGTACAATGCGGGACAGTGCAGCATGGGTTGGAGCTATATGCTGGCCATAATGGGGACAGCGTTATCCATCTTTTGTCCAATTTTATGGAATTTGCGTGATTTTAAATCAGAACATGATGATTATCCATTTAATTTATGATAATTATTTTCTCGCGTTTTTTTTCCATATGAATCAATTTTCAATATTTTCTTATTTATTTATATAAATGCATTATTTGTTGATCCTTTGGAGGATATTTTGAAAACTACTGTTTGTTTAAACATTGGATCAGATGTTTTACATAAAAATCTAGTGTGAATGTATTTCTATTTGTTTGATTTTTTTAATTCAATGTTAGTCAAAACGAAAACATTGTTCACGTTTTGACCTATTGGTGGTGCAACGCCGTGCTGTGCATATTCAGACGTCATCCGGTGTTTTGATTATTAGTCTAGATCGATAATAATCTCTATTACTTTGTCAAGCGGACACCGACGGTGACAACACAATATCACAAATGGCTCGTCTACATATTAAATAAACATTACCCCGAAAGTACACATTGACGTTAATGCTGACAGATTTAATGCTCACACACATTTTTAATAGATTTGTTTTGTTAATATAAAAAGCAAGAGTCACTCGTTATCTTAGCTTTCGGGCTTAGCCCTTCATCAGGGATTGAAAGGTCTTCACCCGTATGTCACATCCACATTTGAAAATTTAAAGCCTTTGAACATTTGGTTTTAAACGTGCATGTGACGCAAGAGTAAAATACCATTCTTTCTCTGATAAAGGTCTTAGCCCGAAACCTTGGATAAAGAGTGACCATTGCTATATGTTTTATTGCATTCCCTTTAGAAACTTTGTGATTGATTTTATAGGTTGATAATGTATAAAATATTTAAATTTGCTTAAATAACTTCGTTTATTTTACTGGAAAATCTTTTGTTATACAAAGGTACAGAGTGGATATCACACGAGATATTTCCTTGATTTGCATAGAAAGAGTTTTTGGATTTGGAACGAGTTTGAGATTCTTTTTATCACTTATGTCAAAACGTTATCTTCTTAGACACATTCATAAAACAGATATTAGAAAACGAATAAAGGATAAAACGACTTATGTTTTGTCTCTGCAGTATATTCCTGAAATATCATACCGAAGGCATCCAGCACATCATTCTGCCGGGGTCACATTATACTGACAACGGGTATCGACAAACAGCTGTCGAATTATAACTGTAATTAAATCAGAAGGGGAGATCATCAAAACCATACATGACATTTCCTTATTTTTATAAATGTGTGCTGCTTCGGAGGTTAAGTTGCCATATCTTCTGAATTATGCTCATTCAGAAAAGTAAACAAAAAGGGTGGAATAAGTGTCTAACGTGTCGCTGGAAGAATTCTGCATCAAAAGAAATATTCTTGTGAGAACCTTTATGTAACAACTTTCGAAAGGTTCGTATACGTCAATTTCCTTGTTTAATCTATTAACTTACCTACAATTACGGAATTTTCAATGCCACACATATTACATTCTCGTACCTCTGTATAGTATGCATAGAATTCCCCATCAGGAATGATTACGGAATTCATTTGTTATTTAAAAAATGTATTTGTTATTTTATTTTATATTTCAAAGGTTTTTAATAGAGTACGAGCGGTATTGTATATAAATTAAAAAGTTATAGAATTTCTGGAAACCTTTAAAATTGGATATCAGATTGTAACCAACAAGTCGTTATGCACAATTTTACTGTGAAATAAACAAACAATCAACAAGAGAATATCGAAGTGTCAACAAAACTCGAAATCAATAAAATTAGGGCAAACTATGAACAAAGGAAAACATTGATATCCTTCACAAAAGTACAAGTTGCAGACGTTCCGGAAGGGTCAGCGTCTTCTGCTCTATCAACGGCACCTGCAATGTATATAGATATAGTACAATTCCTAGTAATGTTACGTCCTCAAAGCAGGAACCGCCGTATTGGCGACGAAACAACGATGCACACCTATGGGCAAAACAAAAACAATATAATGCATCGACCTTCATATGACACAAAAAGAAGCATATTTCTCAATGAGATCACGATTGCGACCAAGTCTACATTAACCTGCATTTCCGGTTGCTGATACAATTTCATCACATTTTAAAACATTTACGGCTGGTTCTGTGTTGTGTACATGACTCTTTGTTTCGTAAACGATGCTGACCCCCTTGCGAGCTTTCCCGCTTATTTTGCGACGAAACCATGCTTGACAATTGACCTATGTAAATTAATGCAATTAAATTAAATAATTTTTTCTGTTCAATACCTTAACAAAAGTTGATATAAATTTATTGTAAAATCACGTTACAGTATATTATACTTTAACTGAAAATTCATAGAAAATTATCAACATCTATTGGCGTTTTTTATCCGCGGATTTTAAGAGGACAACCCATGTTGAAGATATCTGCAAAAGTCCTTGCTTACCCGAAGGAAATTTTTCCGCCCAAGAAGATCTACAGAACAATGCTCTTTAAAAATTGAGTTACTAAAGAAATGTTTGAGTGTGAAAAAGACTGAAACAAAAGATAATATAGGAATTGAATCTAGATTTTGCCAGTGTTTTGCAGGTATGAACGCGGAAAGAAATGCTGACACACCACATGATCGGCCGTAACCAATCACAGAACCTGTAATAAAGCGCAAAATGTAAAGAAATATACATGTCAAAAGTTTATATAGAGCACTCTCTAGCTTAGGGTTGAACTTCTGATATTAAAATTCAAAGGATATCGTGTAGAAATGGAGTTAAATCTTTTAGTTAAGTTTTTTTATTAAATATACACACAGCAAAGGGATTGGGCACAACTTACATGAACATTATAGACACCCTTTCTCTATGTAAACAATATTATATTATCGTGTTTAGTCTGCACTAAAACCAACAGCACACACAGGTTATACTCTGCTCTGTTTTTTGTCTATAAAATAACAATCACTTAAATTGTCGAAAATGAGCATAGTGTGAAAAACAGAGAGACAGACAAGCAAGCGACACACTCATGATTTCAGACAGACAAACAGGCAGACAGGCAGACAGACAGACATGCCAACAGGCTGAGCGTTCTATGCATATTCCGTCTTTTCGTATTGCAGAGTTATCTTCTCTTGTGAGCAGGTATTGATTAATACGTCATTTGTATTTGCGAGTAACGTCATCAATTTTTGAGAAAACGCCGTAATTTTCTCACACAAACCAATGACGTAAAAATCAATACCTGATCCCAAGAGAAGATAACTCTGCAATACGCAAAGACGGAATACAAGATGAAAGCAGAAAAAGTCTCGTTCGGAGCCGATTTTTTTTCTCTCATAAATATCAACTATATTTTTTTTAATTAAGTAAGCATTCTACTAGAACACAATATTTGAGTATACAAAACGGTGAAGTCCGCTAGTGTTGTGCACCTAAGCTTTCAACCACATCCTTGCAATTAATTGACGTATCGAGTAAAACGGCTTAACAGTTTGAATTTGAACACTTGATTTTTGAAATAATCAATAAAATGTTGGCTTTATAACGAAGCCCGCAGGTATAGCGCACCTAAACTTTCAACTACACTTTTGCAATTTATGGACGCATCGAGTAAAACGGCTGAATAGTTTGGTCCCTAACTAATTATCTTTCAAACTATTAAGATAAAAAATGGATTTATAACGAAGAAACAGTAAGAAAACGCACTCTTGCTTACATTATAGCGGGGGCAGTGTCTATTTGACTACTGCTCCACTGGAACAATACTACGTTTCAAAAAAGGTCGATATTACAAAAATTTCATTGAATGCCGCGTGGTTAACAAATGATTAAAATATCAAGGAACTTGATAAAAATTTCAGTCAAACAATGAATCACTTTATACTTAATATCGTTGAAGTGACTATTCACCTGAAACTGCTTCTTAATTGCGTCTGGTGCGCAACTCCACTAGACCCGCGTCTCTATTGAGTACAGCTGTATATAAAACCAATGTATACCGAGGAATCCCTCGAGATGACGTAGAGGTCACATGGTTCAGTGCTTTGAGTTAACTTAGTTCGAAAGACATTTTTATTTTATTTTAGAAAAGGGAGAAAATGTTCACAATTGAATTGCGCAACGTGTCTACCGTTGGGACACCATACAAAAACAGAACGGATCAGTCAGTCCAGACGCAAACAAATCGCAATATCACATGTTTACGTATTACACCATGTTTATAAAGTAGCCAAGTTTTATTACATCGTCCCATCAGGCAGCGTCTAATACACAGACGTTCTCCACAGACCACCTGGCGGGAAAATCTAACGATTGCAGACGTCAGCGTACTTGTGACCGGGATGACCAGCTGAGCTCAAACGCCTTCACGAATCAGACCAATATAACTCAGGTTAACTACTCTGTCTATGATTTGCCCTGTAAACACTATGGTCGACACCAACTGCTGTGATTTGAATCGAAATGCTGTCTAGATCGATTGATCGATCATTGAGGGCCTTCGAAGGGGTTTTGTTTAGATAAATAGCAAGGTGTCAAAACACAGAATAGTTCGATTTTCATTTAACCATTCCTTAGAACGTTTAATTTCAAAATGAATAGTGAGCAGGAGACTATCGTCAACATCTTAGCGAAATCATACAGTCGCTCAATTTGTAAGAGCGTCCGTCTAGAGTTCGGAGGTCCTGGGTTCGAATCCCGGTCTGGCTATTGTGTTTTTTCCTGTTATATTTATGTGACAGTAGTCCCTCTTGGCACAGGTTCGTTTCTAGTACACCATGGTTACATCACCACATATATAAGTTGTCGTCCGTGACACAAGCTTGTGGGTAATTAAACATCCTTAGATTTTACGAGAGATCGACCTTTAGCGAATATCGGCAATGAAGGAGCCTGTGTCATATTCTACGTCACAAGGATATGAAAATATTCCGAGTATATACCCTTTACATTGCACTCAATCAGCGCATTTCGTACTTGCATGGAGACTTCATTTTGAGCAAGAGTTTGAATTAAATATGAAGATATTTTCGTACTGCCACTAGCACACCAACATTTAAGGATCCCCGTACCACCGAGAATACTGTAACTAAACATTGGATGTCGTGTTTATGGGCATGACTTTAGCTTTGATAAATAATTTCTTGAAAGAAAACTATCCTGTGTTGAACTTTTATGAGAACTAATACAGACGAAGCTAACTAGGTATAATCTACAGTGAGGCCTGACCGGGATTCGAACCCAGGACTTCAGATCTATATACTTTCGCTTAGAAGTGTCCTAGCCCAACGGTTATTAGACTGGCCA